TATATATATATATATATATATAACCTTATATATATATATATATATATATATATATAATACTATATATATATATACACTATATATATAATATAACTATACATATATATACGTATATACAAACATATATATATATATATGTATATATAATATATATATATATGTATACATTATATATATATCTACACACACACACAAATGCATATATATATATATATATATATACAGATCATTACAAGCTATGTACTATAAGGAGGTGGTTTTTTTAGCGAACGTATATATAAATATATACGATATTATATGTAAGATCGTTTAGTATCGTCTGATGTATCACAATACACTTCTCGGTACACTCTCGCATCAGATTTTGTATCCACCCTTCACTATACACAAACACTCCAACTATCCTACGGAAAGGCCTTTTAACGGCTTGCATTACAGTTCAGGTGTGTCACACCAAATTACCACAAAACGCAGATGTAAACGTACTTTGACAGAGACATGTGCATGTACTCATAGTACACGCCTACGCACATAAACGTGGGGGAGTATAGCTACATGCATGAATAGTCGAGAGTGCAGCTACGTAGGCTGTTCAATCGGAACAGTTCGGTCTTTCACTCGTGCCAGACGAGAGTTCACTGTAGGTGGTTTGTTGCGCGAGTTTTGTAACCCTGAAATCATACACGACTGTCAATCGTATCATCCATATGCACCCATACACATATCGTCATGCCATGTAGATATCTACTACGTCATACACAGTAGGTGTACATCTCTTAATCGAAGTAAGTATAAAAGCTACACCCCTCTACCGGTTAGTCTCACGCTGTCGCCAGAGTATCACCCATATGCATCCATGCATTCTTAGACATGTAATGTAGCATTCATAGACATATATTGCAGCATTCTTCGACATTTAATGTAGACATCTACTACCCCATACACAGTAAATGTACATCTCTTGTCTGAGATGGTTCTAGTATTCTGTATCAGTCAGTGCACATCTACTAAGCCATGCATGTACAACCAACCATACACCCCTGTACAGGCGAGTCTGGCGATGTTGCCAGAGTACCATCCATACACATCCATTCACAGTCCGTTTACATCTACTACGCCATGTATGTGTATCCACTACATCCCTGTACAGGCGAGTCTGGCGCTGTTGCCAGATGAGCTTCTGCTGCAAATGTTCCGTCGGATGGGCTGTGAGGCTCTCACAGTGTGTGCGACTGTTAGTGTCCGTTGGAATCGGCTCTCCAGTGACGACACTGTCTGGAGGCCAAGACTGTCCAAGGTAAGGGCACACGCATGATACATATGTATACACGCATAATGCATATGTACGCACGCATAATACATATGTAAACACGCATAATGCATATGTACACGCGCTTAATGCATATGTACACACGCATACGCATAATGCATATGTACACACGCATAATACATATGTACACACGCATAATGCATATGTACACACGCATAATGCATTTGTACACACGCATAATGGATATGTACGCACGCATGATGCATACGTACACGTGCATATCTCTGTATCTGTTTCTTGTGCGTGTCAGGTATACGTCGATCTGTATTGGTTACACACTTGTGTACACTTGTAGTTCTAGCTGCGTTAGTAGGTAGGATAGTGTAGTAACCGCAGCATGTGCGGCTGTTCGTGGGCAATGGAATGGTCTGTTGACTGCTGCGACCGTCTTCAGACCAATACTCACTCCAGTGAGTGCGAACACAACTCCTAACGAATGTAGTGGATACGAAAGACACGTACGTGGGATGGGCTATATGTGCATTTGTACAGAGATGGGATATATGACGGTACACCGCACATGGCACGGTGTGTTTGAATTTACACGCCCATATTTGTGGTTAGTATAGTACTGTGTTTGTATTTGTATTAAATGTTGATGAATGTGGTTAGTATAGTACTTTGTGTGTGTTTGTATTCTACGCTCATGAATGTGGTTATTATAGTCCTGTGTGTGTTTTTATATTCATACACTTCTGCATATGTTTGCTTTACAAGTGTGTGGGGTCTATGACTTATCTATCTGTATACATCCATGACCTACAGGGCACTTATGACCGGTATTCTATGCTAAGCTTTGCCCAGTCATACAAGGCCCATATTTAAGTACCACAACCCATCCGTCTATGGCATGACTCTATTGATACTTATGTTTACATTGTAACAATGTACTCAGTCATTCACCCGGTCATGTACCGAACTGAGTATATCTCTATTCGCTATAGGATGTACCTGAGCTCGCAATAGCTGGGACTGTCCTGGACCTGGAATACGAGGTCCATATTTTAGTACCACAACCCATTCATCTGTGGAAGGCTCTGTATGCAGTTCTGTACAAACGCAAGAGAGTGTGTACTCGTGCTATGCGTGCTTCGACATACCTTTACGACACATCCGCAGCCAGCAACCAAGAAACTGCAAGACGAAGTTCACAGGTGTGTGTGTGTGTGTGTGCGTATATATATATATATATATATATATATATATGTATATAGATATATATTTATATATATATATAGATATATATACCGACTACAATGTGTTTGGAAATACAATATACACATCCACGTATTACTGCACAGATTGGTCAATGCTCCCGTTATAATCAGCGGAGCGAAGAGGTTAACAGCACTGTGCATGACAGACTCAACGCACGCGTGTGCTGGAGATGTCTCTCTGACAGAAGCCCACTGGTACAGATACCTATGCACTTCTGGGAACAACATACGCCCGCAAAAGGTACACGGAGATGTATGTATACTGAATATATAT